TCTCTTAGCCCCCACGTTACCGCCTCTACTGCCCCATCATGATCAATGATTGTGTACAGGGATGTCACATCAGCACTTGCCAACAGAATTTCCGAACTCAACTCCATTTTGTCTAATTGTTGAATTAAATGCTTAGTGTCTCGTAAGTAAGCTTTCGTCTTTTTAACTGCTGGTTGTAGATAAAAATCAACATATTGGCCTAATCTAGCCAAGACCGATTGTACCCCATTCACTATCGGTCTACCAGGAGGTTCGCTCAAATTCTTATGTATTTTAGGTATTGTGTAAATTATGGGTATTCTGCAAACCTCTGGTAATAAGTATTTTGCCTCCTTTTTATTCAGAAGGTCCTTTTTCTCCCCTTCTTGTACAAGCTTAACTAAAACTTTTTTATAAGAAAGTGTCGGATCTCTAGGGATGACTTTATACGTGGTGGTGTCTGATAATTGTTTATTTAAATCTTGCAGATAATATTCTTTGGACAGAATTACAATACCACCCCCTTTGTCAGCAGGTCTTATTACAATATTATCTCTTTTAGAGAGCCTATTGATTCCTGTTTGAATACCAATGTTATTTGTCACCTTTGGAATTATCAATTCCTCCAAATCATGATTGACCATACGTTTAAAAAACCTCTGTATAGTGATTATTAGATACCTGCGGATTAAAAAGTGACTTGTTTCTATAATGACTGTGCAAAATATCGCTACTAAAACCACTAGCTAAATTACTTTTAGCCCCTGGTAGCCCTAAGAAATATTTTTTAATGTTCAATTTCCGAACAAATTTTTGAGTATCCACATATATGTCAAACTTATTAGCTGCTTTGGGTGGTGCATATTTTAAAGCCCTTATCCAGAGCCATCAGCTCTTCTTTAGTGAGATCACATCCACTTATATTGAACACTCCTTCTCCTACTGTTCTCTTTTTCTTTTGCTGTTTCCACCCTGCCCTGCACCCCCTCCTCTTGGTGGGCTTTTCCACCTTACCCCCTCCGGGCTCCTGTTTCTGTCTAAAAAATCCCTTGGTGGTAATTCATTTCCTAATACCTCATATCTATTATACACCTCTACCGGGCTTCTTCCTTCTCCATTGGGTGGATACCATCTTTCTTGTGGATAAAATCTCGGGCTTCTTTCTGGATAATAATTGTACATTTTATTCGGATAATACTCGGGTCTAGGTGGACCGTAATAATCAGATCTCTGATAATTGTTAGGTCTATTCCACTGGGGATTCCACTGTGGTCTCCACCCATTCCCTCCATTTTTTCCTTTAGCTTTTTTATTATTATATGGAGGCCCTCCATTTTTTGGTTGTTGTCTCCATCCATTGTGGGGAGTATGATATGATGGTCCATACTGGTTAGTCTTTTGATCAACATTATTCCTAACTATTTTTGGCGGCATTGGGAGGGATCTATTCGTATCCACTTTTTGTTCTTTAACTGGAGTGGTATTATTGGATACAGTCTCTGTCTCCACCGAAGAACTCTGCCATTTAAAAACTTGTTCCTTTTTAAAATCGTTAAAATCTCTCTGATATTTTTTGGTTTTCCTGTATTTTATCTCTTGATCAAGTTTCTCTAGGTCTTTATTTACCCTTTTATTATAGGGTTCTAAATCCACAGAATCTTTCATTAATTCAAGTTTTTGTTTAATCTCTCCTATTTGAGATTCTAAGTTCCTTAGTTTCCTCTGTTTCCTTTTAAGCAAAAATTTAATAAGGTATATGGGTGGATTGGGCGAGGCGTTGTATGACCCTATTAACCACATATCCATTTGATTTTGGGGCATTTTTTTAAATAAATAGTTTTTTTAGTATCTGTGAGAATAATGTAGAGTAATCTATTTAGGGTCCTGAACCAATTTTAATATTTTAATATTTTTAACATTTGAATTTTATTAGATAAAATAATTTTAAAATAAATGTTTATATATATATTTCTATGGGTATATGTGTATGATATATACATATATATTAATTAAAAAAAAATTTTTTTGTGGAGGTTTGTCTCTATCAGATTTGAGTATCTGTATTTACATTAATAAATTATTGCTAGGTCTTAGTTACAATTATTTCCTCTGCTATTAATATCAATGAGATTGATATATTAATAATAAAGAGGGGTATTATGTGGTTTTTAATATAATATTAATAAATAGTTATATGTTCTGTATATGTTTTTAAGGGGAGTAATATATTTGTTTTTGATATCTATATGATGGAAACGATGGCACCTTTTTATAGCGCAGATTGAGTGCTTAAATAGGATGTCTTCTAATGATGAGGTTAGCAGTGCGGACTCCGGTAAAATGGCCGCCGGGAGCCCGCCCTCTAATTAGGAATAGTGGGTTGACTAACCATTATATAAATGAATCATGGCTCTGGGGGGCGGTACCCTGATGAAGTCACGACGCACGTGACGCAACGCGTCGGAACGCCATTCCCAGTTCGAGATTACGTCACTTCCGGTCACGTGGGGACGTTTGTCCGGACGCAGCGGCCATATTTGTTTCCCTCCCTGTATGTGAATGAGAATACACCCATGATGTGAGGTGGAAAGCGCTGTATTCAAAGGCTACATGTGAGTGGAAAAAGTTTGATATGCCAAATTACTCCTAAATAAACGGTATTATACTATGGGAACTTTTTGTTTGTGTCCTATATGACGAGGTGAGAGGAGGTGGAGTGGAAGTCCAGAGGTCCCTTGCTGAGTTGCTTGGAGGAAAGGAGTGCCTTTGGAGGAGAGCTTTTTGCTTTGTGGCCCTGTGTGGGTCAAGGAGGGGAGGTGAGCAGGCATTGCTGCCTTTGGAGGATTCCTTTTTGAGCACTAGAAGTGGAGATCACAGAGTGTTTTTTTCACAAATTTTGCATGGACTTTTTGAGTTTATTTTGTACACTGAGTTCATTTATTTTATCACAGTATCAAGTAGCAATTCATTTTTATAGGTTCATCACAGGATATATGTATTATAGTATTTGTTACAGAATCACTGTTGTTTAATTTATAGGTTCATCACAATCATCACGATTTGTCACAATTCAGTATGATATTAGTATTATTATTAATTGATGCATCACTGATATTTGAGGATTGATTATGAATTTTTTAATTGTCATTTTTTCATCACAGATATATTAAGAGGCAAGATTTATTGATTTAATTGTGGGGTGTTTATGTTTACTATCAACGCATATTATTGATTTTTTATTAGTTCAGTTGGTAATTTAGTTATACACAGAGGGAATATTTTTAGTTATTTGGGAGCGCTTCACTATTTTATGCAGATTAGGGGCTTGGCCGCAGCAATGTGAGGCCCGTAATCTGACACACTGTGGACCTGGCAGCAGCATGAGGAGGCGGTACAGGGGCCCATGGCAGATTAGGGGCCTGGCAGCAGCTATGGGAGGCCCGTAATCTGCCAGCACCCTATGACAAAATGGAACACACCAGCAGTGTGAGGAGACCTGAAAGTAGCACATGGCAGAGTGTGGCGATGGAGACAGCAGCAATGGGAGGCCGTACAGGGACCCATGACACACTGTGGACCTGGCAGCAGCGTGAGGAGGCGGTACAGGGGCCCATGGCAGATTAGGGGCCTGGCCGCAGCAATGGGAGGCCCGTAATCTGCCAGCATCCTATGACAAAATGGAACCCAGCAGCAGTGTGAGGACACTGAAAGTGGCACATGGACCCATGACACACTGTGGACCTGGCAGCAGCATGAGGAGGCGGTAAAGGGGCCCATGGCAGATTAGGGGCCTGGCAGCAGCTATGGAGGCCCGTAATCTGCCAGCAACCTATGACAAAATGGAACCCAGCAGGAGTGTGAGGAGACCTGAAAGTGGCACATGGCAGAGTGTGGCGATGGAGACAGCAGCAATGGGAGGCCGTACAGGGACCCATGACACACTGTGGACCTGGCAGCAGCGTGAGGAGGCGGTACAGGGGCCCATGGCAGATTAGGGGCCTGGCAGCAGCAATGGGAGACGCCCGTAATCTGCCAGCATCCTATGACAAAATGGAACCCAGCAGGAGTGTGAGGAGACCTGAAAGTGGCACATGGCAGAGTGTGGCGATGGAGACAGCAGCAATGGGAGGCCGTACAGGGACCCATGAGACACTGTGGACCTGGCAGCAGCATGAGGAGGCGGTACAGGGGCCCATGGCAGATTAGGGGCCTGGCAGCAGCTATGGGAGGCCCGTAATCTGCCAGCAACCTATGACAAAATGGAAACCCAGCAGGAATGTGAGGAGACCTGAAAGTGGCACATGGCAGAGGTAGAGTGTGGCGATGGAGACAGCAGCAATGGGAGGCCGTACAGGGACCCATGACACACTGTGGACCTGGCAGCAGCGTGAGGAGGCGGTACAGGGGCCCATGGCAGATTAGGGGCCTGGCCGCAGCAATGGGAGGCCCGTAATCTGCCAGCATCCTATGACAAAATGGAACCCCCAGCAGTGTGAGGACACCTGAAAGTGGCACATGGCATGGCATGCACACAGGGACCCTGTGGACCTGGCAGCAGCATGAGGAGGCGGTACAGGGGCCCATGGCAGATTAGGGGCCTGGCAGCAATGTGAGGCCCGTAATCTGCCAGCACCCTATGACAAAAAATGGAAACCCAGCAGCAGTGTGTGAGGACACCTGAAAGTGGCACATGGCATGACACACTGTGGACCTGGCAGCAGCATGAGGAGGCGGTACAGGGGCCCATGGCAGATTAGGGGCCTGGCAGCAGCAATGGGAGACGCCCGTAATCTGCCAGCAACCTATGACAAAAAATGGAACCCAGAAGCAGTGTGAGGAGACCTGAAAGTGGCACATGGCAGAGTGTGGCGATGGGAGACAGCAGCAATGGGAGGCCGTACAGGGACCCATGACACACTGTGGACCTGGCAGCAGCGTGAGGAGGCGGATACGGGGGCCCATGGCAGATTAGGGGCCTGGCAGCAGCTATGGGAGGCCCGTAATCTGTGCCAGCATCCTATGACAAAAAATGGAACCCAGCAGCAGTGTGAGGAGACCTGAAAGTGGCACATGGCAGAGTGTGGCGATGGAGACAGCAGCAATGGGAGGCGGTACAGGGACCCATGAGACACTGTGGACCTGGCAGCAGCATGAGGAGGCGGTACAGGGGGCCCATGGCAGATTAGGGGCCTGGCAGCAGCTATGGGAGGCCCGTAATCTGCCAGCATCCTATGACAAAATGGAACCCAGCAGGAGTGTGAGGAGACCTGAAAGTGGCACATGGCAGAGTGTGTGGCGATGGAGACAGCAGCAATGGGAGGCGGTACAGGGACCCATGAGACACTGTGGACCTGGCAGCAGCATGAGGAGGCGGTACAGGGGCCCATGGCAGATTAGGGGCCTGGCAGCAGCTATGGGAGACGCCCGTAATCTGCCAGCAACCTATGACAAAAAATGGAACCCAGCAGGAGTGTGAGGAGACCTGAAAGTGGCACATGGCAGAGTGTGGCGATGGAGACAGCAGCAATGGGAGGCCGTACAGGGACCCATGACACACTGTGGACCTGGCAGCAGCGTGAGGAGGGCGGTACAGGGGCCCATGGCAGATTACACGTGGGCCTGGCAGCAGCAATGGGAGACGCCCGTAATCTGCCAGCAACCTATGACAAAAAATGGAACCAGAAGCAGTGCTGATGTGAGGAGACCTGAAAAGTGGCACATGGCAGAGCCTGTGGCGAGGGATGGAGACAGCAGCAATGGGAGGCCGTACAGGGACCCATGACACACTGTGGATTGTCTACCTGGCAGCAGCGTGAGGAGGCGGCAGGGGCCCATGGCAGATTAGGGGCCTGGCAGTAGCGTGAGGAGGCGGTACGTGGGCCCATGGCAGATTAGGAGCCTGGCAGCAGCTATGGGAGGCCCGTAATCTGCCAGCACCCTATGACAAAATGGAACACACCAGCAGTGTGTGTGAGGAGACCTGAAAGTGGCACATGGGCATGACACACTGTGGACCTGGCAGCAGCTGAGGAGGCTGGTAAGGGGCTACCATGGCAGATTGGGGCCTGGCAGCAGCTGCTGGGGAGGCCCGTAATCTGCCAGCTCCCCCTATGCAAAAAATGGAACACACCACAGTGTCTGAGGAGACCTGAAAGTGGCACATGTTTGGGGCTTGATTCATGGCGGACCATTTAGTCACATGGTCAGGTTTTTATAACTGGTGTATTTTGAAATCCAGACAGGTGTGAAAAAGGATTCATTTTCACAAACGTGAGCGAGGGTCTCCACACAAAAGGGTGGACAGTCGTGTCCTCCGCGGAGTTACAATACCTCCTGCCGCACTCCAACAGCACACGCGCTCCGATGCCACGCTACTGGCTCCGGGCATGACAGCCTTTCAAGGACAAATTCAGCTAGTTGGGGCCAAAGGTCGTCTGGGTCCTTTTGTTGCCCCTCCTCCTAGTCAGGGGATTGTCTACCTCGGTTGGCAGGGTGCTGTCCAAGTAAGCCCAAGCCTCACTTGTTTGAGCTCCTGCTCCAGGTCCTCCCTGATGCTGCTGCTGCTGTGCGGCCCTGGTTAGTAGTTTGGCTGTGCGCTGGTGAACCGAACCCTGACCAGCCATTGTGCAACAGCATTTGTTCCAGCTGACGTGCAACAGAGCTGACTGACCTCACCCCATCCCATGCTGTCCATGCCGACGGAACGCGAGCGAACAGGGCCCCTCAAAGGGCCTGAGCAAGCGGCAGGTGTCACGCATGAGCTGCCAATGGCTGACATCGAAGTTACACAGGGGAGTACCTTTATCCGCTTGTAACATCAGGAAATCGGTGATGGCCTTTCGCTGTTCGTAAAGGCGGTCTAACATGTGTAGGGTTGAATTCCACCTTGTTGCAACGTCGCAGATCAGGCGATGCTGTGGAATTCCGTTCTGCCGCTGCAGCTCAAGGAGGGTGTGCTTTGCGGTGTAGGAATGGCTGAAATGCATGCAAAGTTTACGTGACATTTTAAGGATGTCTTGCAGTGGGATGGTGGATTTTAGGAACCGCTTGACAACCAGATTGAACACGTGAGCCATGCATGGCGCATGGCACAACCTTCCTTGACGCAGAGCAGACACCATGTTCTTTCCGTTGTCGGTCAACATGGTTCCGATTTTCAGTTTGCGCGGAGACAGCCATCTGTCGATTTCTCTGTTCATTACACTGAGAAGTTCCTCCCCTGTGTGACTACGTTCGCCAAGGCATACCAGGTGCAGCACAGCGTGACACCGTTGCGCCCTGCACATGTGATATGCCGGTCGGGTAATGGGACTTGGCACGGGGGTGGCGGCTGAGGACACGGCGGAAGAAGAGGTGGTAGAGGCGGACATCTTTGCCGGACCAAGGACGTGCAAACGTGGAGGCAAAAGCGGCGTGACCTGTCCAAGTTGCTGGTGCGGCTGTGACGGCACCACGTTCACCCAGTGGGCCGTAAATGACATGTACTGTCCCTGACCGTAGTTACAGCTCCACACGTCGGCGCTGCCGTGCACTTTGGCAGAGACCGACATGCTCAAAGACTGGCCCACCATCTCTTCTACATGTGAATGCAGGGCTGGCACTGCCTTTTTGGCAAAGAAATGACGGCTTGGCACTCTCCACCGCGGCGCGGCACAAGCCATCATTTCTCGGAAAGGTGCTGAGTCCACCACTTGGAAAGGGAGGGACTGCAGCACCAGCAACTTGGACAGGAGGACGTTCAGCTTTTGCACCGTCGGGTGCGTGCTCGCAAACTGTTGTCTCTTGGAAACGGATTCCAAGAAAGACTGCTGACGGAATCCGTGAAGAGGAGTAGCAGGAGAAGGAGCATCTGAACGAGCGGAAGATGCCAACGAGCGACAACTCCCCTCAGCAGAGGTGTTGGAGCCTTGACTGGCTGATAGAGGGCGATTGACGTCGGGTGACGGAGCAAGTAACGGAGCGGGTGATGGAGCGGGGGCTGGGGCAGGCAGAACCGCCGTATCTTTATCACGGTTTTCCCAGGCCACCAAATGGCGACGCTGCATATGCTGCCGCAACGCTGTAGTCCCAACATGGGCCCCCTGGCCACGCTTGACTTTCTGGCCACATAGTCGACATACGGCTACGTTTACTTCCTCGGGCGGCTTGACAAAAAATTGCCACACCGCCGAGTAGGAAACTTTGCCCCCGATACTCCTCACTGGCTGACTGCTGCTTCCTCCGTGCACACCGGCACCACTACTGGCCGTGGTGGTAGGCTGCAGTGGAGCTGGTGCTGTACTCCGTGGCCGTTTGCCTCCACTGACACTGCTGCGACCCTGCTGCCTCCTGGGCAACCCACCGACTGTTTTGCTCGCTGCCAAGCTGCCACCCTCTTCTCCTGATGATGCGGAAGCAATAGCCTGATGACGACGAGGCTGCCAAGTGCGATCAGCCTCATCATCATCAATTAGGGTCTCCGCCTCACTACTAGCCCCCTCGGCTGCGTGTGGGTCAGGAGACAGACCTGTCTCTAGACCGGCTACCGAGCCACTCTCCTCGCCACTACTTCTTCGCCTGGCTGCTGAAGAGGCGGATGTCTCCCCCCGTTCCTGACCGCCCTCTGTTAGCTCTTCCTCACTGTACAGTGGGGCTGAGCCCACAGCATGCGATACTTCGCTTGGTGAGGGAACACCAAAGGACAGGGGCAGGTAGAGGACACGTGATTTCAGTGGGCTTGCTCCCGGGCCATGCCAACTAACGGTTGTGTCTGACGTACCCACCGACCGTTGGCTGTAGGTGTCAGAGGTGACCTGGGAAGAGGAAGACGACCGAGCCAACCAATCGATGACGGCAGGGGTTGTCGGTGGAGACACGACCGCTGGATGACACCGGGAGCACTGGCCTCTGGCTGCGACTAGTGCTGCCTCGACCCCTTCCTCTGCTGCCACGTCTGCTCGCTCCTAAAACATTGCCTCCTCTGCCACTCCTATGCATGTTGTCTGACATACTCTTTAATTAAACGATTCTGTGTCCCTGAGTAACAATTCTGTGTCTGTCCCTGAGTAACAATTCTGTGTCTGTGTCCCTGAGTAACAATTTCTGTGTCCCTCAGTAACAATTCTGTGTCCCTCAGTAACAATTCTGTGTCCCTCAGTAACAATTCTGTGTCCCTGAGTAACAATTCTGTGTCCCTCAGTAACAATTTGTGTCTGTCCCTGAGTAACAATTCTGTGTCTGTCCCTGAGTAACAATTCTGTGTCCCTCAGTAACAATTCTGTGTCCCTCAGTAACAATTCTGTGTCTGTCCCTGAGTAACAATTCTGTGTCTGTCCCTGAGTAACAATTCTGTGTCCCTCAGTAACAATTCTGTGTCCCAGTAACAATTCTGTGTCCCTGAGTAACAATTCTGTGTCCCTGAGTAACAATTCTGTGTCCCTGAGTAACAATTCTGTGTCCCTGAGTAACAATTCTGTGTCCCTCAGTAACAATTCTGTGTCCCTCAGTAACAATTCTGTGTGTCCCTCAGTAACAATTCTGTGTCTGTCCCTAAGTAACAATTCTGTGGCCCTAAGTAACAATTCTGTGGCCCTAAGTAACAATTCTGTGGCCCTAAGTAACAATTCTGTGGCCCTAAGTAACATTTCTGTGCCCTAAGTAACATTTCTGTGGCCCTAAGTAACAATTCTGTGGCCCTAAGTAACAATTCTGTGTCCCTCAGTAACAATTCTGTGTCCCTCAGTAACAATTCTGTGTCTGTCCCTGAGTAACAATTCTGTGTCCCTAAGTAACAATTCTGTGTCTGTCCCTGAGTAACAATTCTGTGTCCCTAAGTAACGTTTCTGTGGCCCTAAGTAACGGTTCTGTGGCCCTCAGTAACAAATCTGTGTCCTCAGTAACAATTCTGTGTCTGTCCCTAAGTAACAATTCTGTGGCCCTAAGTAACGTTTCTGTGGCCCTAAGTAACGTTTCTGTGGCCCTAAGTAACGATTCTGTGGCCCTAAGTAACGATTCTGTGGCCCTAAGTAACGTTTCTGTGCCCTAAGTAACGTTTCTGTGTGGCCCTAAGTAACGTTTCTGTAGCCCTAAGTAACGTTTCTGTGCCCTAAGTAACGTTTCTGTGCCCTAAGTAACAGTTCTGTGGCCCTCAGTAACAATTCTGTGTCCCTCAGTAACAATTCTGTGTCTGTCCCTGAGTAACAATTCTGTGTCCCTAAGTAACGTTTCTGTGGCCCTAAGTAACGGTTCTGTGGCCCTCAGTAACAATTCTGTGTCCCTCAGTAACAATTCTGTGTCCCTAAGTAACGTTTCTGTGGCCCTAAGTAACGTTTCTGTGGCCCTAAGTAACGTTTCTGTGGCCCTAAGTAACGTTTCTGTGGCCCTAAGTAACGTTTCTGTGGCCCTAAGTAAACAGTTCTGTGGCCCTCAGTAACAATTCTGTGTCCCTCAGTAACAATTCTGTGTCTGTCCCTGAGTAACAATTCTGTGTCCCTAAGTAACGTTTCTGTGGCCCTCAGTAACAAATTCTGTGTCCCTCAGTAACAATTCTGTGTCTGTCCCTAAGTAACAATTCTGTGGCCCTAAGTAACGTTTCTGTGGC